CTAATCGATGAGCCTGCATTATTCACTCTCCATGCTGAAGTGTACGACCTGTATTATCCCTTACTGAGGCCCATATTTGAAAACAGGCTGGAGTCAAAACCTGTTTGACTGGTTGGTAGCAGCCAGTAATTGGAGACACACCGACGCCAGAAACACCCACATATACACCCATTACCACACAAATAGCAAAGTGGAATCATTTACCAGTCTCAGTATTAATAACTTATGTCAATCATCTTTGTAGTTAATGTTTAAGCAGGGGCAGACTGGCAATAAAAAGCAAAAAAACAAATTGTTGTAAAGCAGTGCCAATTTGATAAACTAAATTTGAGCTGACGCAACACGTTGATCAACAAATTATAGTTTGAAAGAATAAAACAATCTCTTAATCTGTAATGTTTGTGTTCGAAGGGTCATCACAGCTAATATTTAAAAGGATTAAACTAACTTTCTAGATTATAGAGTATTCAACAAATAATTTGTATTTGACGAGCTGGTTATCAAAAATCACATATAGATGAAAATGCAAAAAAGAACTGTTGAGCATCCATCCATCCATTTTCTATACACCGCTTAATCCTCACTAGGGTCGTGGGGGGCTGGACTCTATCCCAGCTGACTCAGGGCGAAGGCAGGGGACACCCTGGACAGGTCACCAGTCTACTGCAGGGCTACACTTAGAGACAGACAACCAAGCACACTCACATTCACACCTACAGACAATTTAGAATCACCAATTAACTTCAACATGTTTTGGGACTGTGGAAGGAAGCCGGAGAACCCAGAGGGAACCCACGCAGCACGGGGAGAACATGCAAACTCCATGCAGAAAGATCCCTGAAAGATCCTAATCTTCTCGCTGCAAGGCGACAGTGCTAACCACCACTGTTGAGCATTCTAGAGGAAAATATCACAATTACACCAATTCCAGTCAAAGGTGACAATCCCTTTTTAAAATACGGTATAGGTTCTCCAAACATTTGTGCATCTTAAACCTTCGAAATGGTAACAGCACTGTGCTCGTCATCACCTGCGCAAATAATAATTTCATCACTTTGGAGCATCTGTCAGCAAAGCCTTTATCTTTGTAGGACAGTAATAAAACCATAGCTCCTTGTAAAGTTAAGAATAGAAAAGAGTGAATAAGTTCCTCAGTCTGTTAATAGGCACATGGAGGTCTTTTAATCACCTTTTCTTAACACTCACCACTGGGTCACTTGCAGGCTGTTTACAACACAAACAACCAGTAGCTGACAGATTACCTTTATGTATTTTTTCATTATACATAACACATGCTGCTTCAGAACAAGGTGGGTGCACTCAGTTGACCTATTCATTTTTTTATAGTACTAATTATTTTAAGCTGGAATATGTTGGGTGTGGTTGGGGCTGGAGATGGCTGGTTTTTATTTGGATCTGCAAAACAACTACAATTTGTAAGCTCTAATGGTAAAACAAACAAACAAACAAACAAACATACAAACATACAAACATACATACATACATACATTAAAAACTTATGAAACATGTACGTCTCCCTAATGATTTTTATAAGAAAAGACCGATGCTGAAAACACCCAAGTAATGTTAACAGCTTCTTATTCCAGAGCAGACTTTTGCTTTTGCCAGTTAAAATGACCACCACCAGCAGTGATATCAACTGTAACTGAAGAATGTGAATTATGTGCTCTCTCTCAGCTGCTAACTAAAGCAAAAGATTGTTTGCATTTGCTTCACTTTGAAACATCACTCTATATTTGTGTTAGATACAGGAGAGTCCAACTTCATGCATCAAATTAAATATTTGAAACTGAGACAGAAAAAAGAAAAATGGGACAAACAGATGCAACAGTCAGAATGTTTCAGCTGTTGTTTCAGTAAAAAACTTAACACATTTTTTAATTATTAACACTTTAGAAGGTGCTCGGCTAATTTTCCAGTTGGAATTACAGGCTACCTTTCCTCTTCCTCCTCACTGTGATTCAGCTGCATGTACTTGGTCAGCTTCACCTGTAGGGGAAGCCAAGACACCACACACAGCTTCATTCTGGCCAATAAGCTGAAACCATATCCTATCTTTTAGAAATGACACGTTTGTTGATTTACATACTAAATGTGTCCTTTAATGTTGGACAAATATTAAATTGGTTTCTGTGCCTCTATAAGTGGACCAAATTACTCAGATCTTAATTTTAACATCTTTATGAGACAATAATTGAAGGGCAAACAAGCAGGATACGTTACGTTCAAACAAACCTTCACCTTTGTGTTATATATAAATGTCAAGTAAAGCAGTTGTGAGAAATGACACAGCTCAGTTTGAGAAAACCCCCCTCACTTGTGGTCCAAAGCAGACATGCTGGTTAACTGTCAACTGTTAAAGTAAGTGTGAAACAACTTTGTGGGCTTGTTTGACCTTCACAAATCAAACTGCTTGTAAGTTTGCTAAAAGCCGCTGGCAGTTTTTCCACCAATCACCTCCCCAAATGCAAGATTGTAAAACAACTTTAAACATGTCACTTTAAATACCATTTAAAACACTATGGGGTTAAGAGAAAATAAACTGGGTTTCCAGCCTAATGTAGGAAGGTCACGATTTCCTCATTGCTTCACACAATTCAAATGTTTTCCTCTAGTTGTTGTCTCTCTAGTGGAACAGAAGCTATAGTGGACTTTCAAGTCACATGCCTCCTGTAGGTCATCATTTATTGTCTAGATTACATTAGATCTAGTTTAGATTGTGCTTTGTACATTGTACATTGCACCAATTTCACATTTTGCGTTTATGAGTTGTGACCAAAGCCTTTCTGTTCCTGTTGCACACTCTTGTGAGCCATGATTCCACAAAACTCAGTATGATCAGTATTTGGGCCTGAGTTACACTGCAAGGATCTACAGGCCTGGGGTAAATGGTAAATTGTAAATGGTCTGCACTTATGGAG